CCCACGGGGCCTCCGGAGGCTGCAGAGGCAGAGGGACCCACTGCAGGGACCCATTCCGAGCAGCACGGGGAGGCGCCGCGAAAGGAGCACGTGTCACACCACCATGGGTGCGCTGCAAGCTCAGCGTGGACGATCACGGGAGGCTTCCAGAGCACACAGGGCAGGAACTGGGCCTGGATGGGGCGTGGGCTACCCCACTCCTCCCACCCCCACGCACCTTTTCCAGAGTGTATGTGGCTCGTTCAATGATCTCGGGGAAATGCTCATCGTACTCTCGGATGACGTCCTTCACCATGTCTGTGGGAGGTGGGGTAGAGGTAGGGAAAGAACCTGTGTTGAGCAGGGGCTCGAGAGCCGCGGCCCCAAGGCCAGCTGTGCTGAAGGCAGCCGGCCAGCACCCTGTCCTGCAGAAAGGGAGCCACCCGGCCCTGCCTGGAGAGTGTGAGTACATCAGCCAAGCGAGGCCAGCGGCACGGGGCTAGCATAGGACCAGGGGCACCTACCTGAGCGCTTGATGGGAATCTTCTTGTAGTCCTTGATCATGAGGTATTTCACCAACTTATTCGCCTGGCGAAGGAGGAACGTGTGGGCAGGTGAAGGGCTGGGTGGTCACAGAGCGCTGGACCACGGGGGAAGAAAGGAGGCAGATGGGGAAAGCAGACTGCTCACCCTCTCTTGCAGCAGGGTCACGTTGCGGGGGGGCAAGCACAGTATGTGCCGCGAGGGTATCTGGGACCTCACGGCCATCGGGGGCCGAGGGCCCACCTGAGCCCGCGCTGTCACTGGGGGCTCTGATGCTCTCCAGGTTGCCGGGACCTGCGGAGGTTCTCTCTCTTCCTCGCTGCTCTCATATTCGTCATCCAGGTGTTTGGACTGTAATGCCATCAGAGAGAGGAGTAACCCGGGCTTCCGGACTCCCTGGGCAGAAGCACGCACCACACACCTAGCCCATAGCAGGCACGTGGCAGCAAACCTAGTACGAGCAGCCGCTGGCACATGCTGAGAGCTTACTAAGTGCCAGGCTCCGAGCCAACCTCTTCTCCCACCAGCCCTGAGAGCAGGAGCCACGTGGAGTCAAAACACGCTCAACGGATGTGTGCTGGAGAAACATGAACAAGCTGAGGGGAGAGGAGGGACAGGATGGGGAAGACAGCAGGACAGAGGAGAAGGGAGGGCGCAGAGCAGCAGGAAAGGAGAGAGGGGTGTGCAGGCGGCAGGGGAGGGTGCTCACCTTCTTGGTCCTTTTGCCTCCCATCCGGGCCCAGGGCTCACCACTGTTCTGAGCAGTGGCAGCTGTCCCCTCAGGCTCGGGGATGCTTGCGGCCATCTTGGTGTTGGCAGCAGCTGCGGCCCCAGTATTCTGAGGCTCCACCCACCGAGTCTTGGCCACAGCCTTCCCAGACTTGGTGGTCTTGGGTCGGGTGGCTGCCACTTCCTTGGCAGGTGCTGCCTGAGGCACACCAGAGGCAGCACGGGGGTCCTCTGTGGTGGCCACTTGGGCTGGGGCAGGCCTCTTGGGGCGTGTGAAGGCCATGCCACTGACACCTGCTGGCTGAGTGAAATCAAAGACATCCTGCTGGCCCAGGAAGGCTGCCTGGGGCCAGGTGGCCTTGCTCTCACTGGCACTTGGAGCCTGAGCGAAAGCACAGGCAGTACTAGGACCCTCGACGCAGGCAGAACTGGGACCCCCGGCGCCGGCAGTGCTAGCACCCTCATGGTCCGGAGTGTCTGTCTGGGACTGTGTGGAGATTGCTGGAGCGCCAGGGGAAGCTACGTCACTGGCGACTGCCATCTGGGACGTCGGGGGTGAAGCCAGGATTGCCTCCGGTGTGGCCCCCTGAGCCTCAGCGTATGGCATCGGCTGGGCACGGTCTCCCGTGGCCGGTGGTGTGG